ATTTTCCTCTGCACAAACTGCTGTTAGAGACTTCACATTTCAGAGCATTACCACTCTCCTCTGCACAGTCCCGCTGCTTTCAGCATGGCTTTCAGCTGCTCCCTGGTGGCTGAACGGCTCCTGGTGTCTCCTACACAGTTGGAAATGCAGTTTTTCTTTGAAGTTCAGTTTAGTGTAACCTCCTCTGTGCAGACTGGTACCTTTCTGTCCTCCCTTTTCCTTGAAGGAGCGCCTTTAGGTTGCTTTCACCTTCCAAGTGTGCGTTGTCATTCTGCACACACAGGTTACAGCAAGTAACTGGTTCTTGCTGTGCTTGCGTTTTTCCGAGAGGACAGAGCTGCCAGTGGGAAGGACGTGCCTCTAGGTCCTGCCACAGTTCTGCCCTACAGTCTGGTCCAGGTTTGTTTACCAAGGGAGGACCATATAGATGGGTACATTCAGACCCAGTTTGGAATCAGGAGGAAAAGTAGTGACCTGAAGATGAAGCATTTTGTCACCAGGAGGTTGGAGCCTAAGGTACGCTGAGGACAGTGCTGCCTGGACCTGATGTGGTTGTATCTGATAGCACATCAGTTAAAAAGGAAAAACAGCTTAAAAAAATACCCTGTTGTACTGTAATAGCATTGTACTGTAGTGAAATCAGGGTCCCTGTTTCCTCTAGAGTTCACAGTGCTGGAATAATTGTCATTTCCAGAGAAGAGCACCCCCATGCTGTGTAGGTTTAGGCTTTTTTAAGGCCCCAAGCCTAGTGAAGTACTTAATCTAGAAAGCACTTCCACACTGGTTTCACTGGGACTATTCACAGGCCTAATTATTGCACTAGATCAGGGCCGAAGTCAAATGTTTTCTTTATTTCTTTACAATTAAATACTCGAGCAAGTCCCCCAGGAGCACTTGAAAGAGTGAAGTTTAACTAAAGCAGCGAGAGCTCAACGCCAGCGTCCCGTTGCTGCGCCGATGGCAATTCCTCCTGCGTGTTCCCGTGCCAGGGTGCGTGTGTGCCTCCGCCTGCCTCTGTGCACTTCGCCTACAGTGACCACATCAAACGAGCAGGGTTATTATTGAAGCTACAGAAAGGCAAGGGGCTCTGTATTAATGACAGGCAGATGTATACACGCTGTTGAACCCTGTAGATAAACGCTGGGATTCCTAGGGTAAATAAAGCCTCCTCCACCCCCTTCCCTTACAGAGCCTTCCAAAAAAGACCGTATCGCTTTGGTCTTACATCAACAGCCAACTGGAAGACTTTACTAACCCCTTGTACGTGAGCTACTCCAACCACGTCCTGTATCCCGTGGCCAGCATGCGCCACCTCGAGCTGTGGGTCGGCTACTACATCCGCTGGAACCCCAGGATGAAACCCCAGGTACGTGTGCCTCCTCCCAGGATCCGTCTTTTATTTCCCTCTCTACTGTTACTAACGCTGTCGGTTTGGAGTTCAACACCTTTGAAGCACAAGAATTAATGTGGAAACTTACGATGATGCTGTTTAAACCTAAACCCCAAAGCCTAAATGAATAGCCAGCAAATGGAACAGCAGCACCTCCTGCTGCCTGGTGCGGGTGCTCAGCTGGAGGCTGCTGCCTCGTGAAATCTGCAGGAGCTGAAAATACTCAGCAGGTTGGAAATGAATATGGGAAAATTATAGAAACCACAGCATGGTTTGGGTTGGAAGAGACCTTAAAGCTCATCCAGTTCCAACCCCTCTGCCATGGGCAGGGACACCTTCCACTAGAGCAGCTTGCTCTAAGCCCTTCCAGCCTGGCCTTGAGCACTGCCAGGGATGGGGCAGCCACAGCTTCTCTGGGCACCCTGTGCCAGTGCCTCAGCATTTCCCTAACAGGGAAGCATTTGTTCTTCATATCTAATCTCAGTCTCCCCTCTTCCAGTTTAAAGCCATTCCCGTTGTCCTGTCCCTCCATGCCCTTATAAAAAGCCCCTCTCCAGATTTCTTGTTGGCCCCTTCAGGCACTGGGAGCTGCCCTAAGGTCCCCCCAGAGCCTTCTCTTCTCCAGGCTGAATAAGCCCAGCTCTCTCACCCTCTCTCCATAGCAGAGGTGCTCCAGCCTCTGCTCATCCTCACTCAGCTGCACGTTTTGTTGCAGGAGCCTGTCCACAATCGCTACAAGGAGCTTCTTGCCAAGAGGGCCGAGCTGCAGAAGAAAGTGGAGGAGCTGCAGAGAGAGATCACCAACCGTTCCACCTCGTCCTCGGAGAGAGCCGGCTCTCCCGCGCAGTGCGTCGCTCCTGTACAGACAGTTGTATGATAGGGACTATTTGTGCCAAGTACCTCCCCAGGACCACCGGGGGCAGCGTTTCTGAGCCCCTCTGGTTTCCAGTGCGGTGTCTGGGAGATGCCAACCTATTTATTTATTTCTCTCCAGGGTAATTTATTAGTACTGTAGCACTAGAGGAAGCTTAAGCAAAGAGAAACAAACAAGGCCCCCTATGCAATTAACCTTCTCGGTGGCTAGATGATAATACAAGGTCATTGCACTTTGCCACTTAAAAGAAACCTAGAGCTCGGTCTTTGCTGACTTACGTGGAAATCACTTGGCTTTGAAGAGAGACTGGGCGCTAGGATAAAGTACAGTGGAGGAAAAACATCCACTCACAAGTACGGAAACTCTCCCCTTTGCTGAAAGGAAATATCAGCTCTGACTCTATTGCAACCTAGAAAACAGCCATGGAGTGAGGAACTCTTCAGTGTTAGTGCCTGCACAGCAGTGTTCATGACAGCATTTGCCAACAGGGACAAGCAGTGACAGCCGCTGGAACATATCACCTTCTTTTCCCTTCATTTTGACCTGGACCATAGCAAGCCATGTAAATGATGCCTTATCTGAAGAAATGGCAGCTTCTACCAATAGGGGACAGTGGTAGAGGAGCAGTCGACAGGACAAAGTTTACTTCCATCTCTGCAACTTTATGGTTTACACTGGATGTGCAGGATGCAGCTGCAGCCCCTCTCTGTCAGAGGGGAGCAGAGCACCACTCCCCCAGGGTTTCTGCAGCAACTCTGTCCTCCAGTGCCTCAGCCTCATAGGGTTGTGGAGCACCGGGGGCATGTGTGAGCTGCTGGGATCAGTCAGTTCATTCCTCTTAGGCAAGCCTAATCAGCGCTTTTAATGCTTCTGTGGAGGATCATAGTGGCGTACTTAAGGTGTTTCAGTGTTTTGTTAACTAAACTAATGGAAGCAACTGTGCATCAACCAAAGAAGCCTTTCTGCCTGCATTGCAACTGCTATTTAAAGTTATTCAGAACAAACAGCCAGTTTCTGAGCCCTAGGTTGAGGTCTCTTTCCTCATAGTGTACTTCAAGAGCTAGTGGCACCTGACTACACTTAAGTCCAAATTCATTTTTAATACACAAGTTTACTGTAGAGGTGGAGATAACCAAGTAGGTGAAACCATGCCTGCCCCATTGATCTTTCAAACAGGTGAGTACAAGGTTGTAAAAGATATATCTGACAGCAAAGGGAGTTATGTATGTGTGAGGATCTTTACTGCAGCCTGATTCTCATCTCCAGGCTGAGGGGCATTGCTTGGTCTGGGTTCCTGCATGGCTCTTTCATGACAGGATCCCACGCTGTGCTCACCAGTTTAATACAGCCATCACCATGTTGTTTCACTCAGCTTCTCTTCCACAACAGGAAGTATTTTCTGAGGGAGTACAAGAGCATGTAAGAAATAGCCTTTCAAAAGCCACATTCCTTCAAAAGCAGTAACAGTCATTCCCCTTCAGTCTCCATTGCCATCTGCTCTACTGCAATCAGTGTCTCAGTGCTTACAGAGAGATCCACAGCCACCTTCTGACAGGAGGAATCACAGGCTGTATGGATCGCTGCCCTTGTTATAGGGTGCCCTTGGATGTATGTTACTGTTTAATAGTGCAAAGAATCCACACAAGAGACCTTCTGGGGGACTTGGTTGTAAGGGTATAGGGCAGGACCTGCTTGTATGTACAATCACTACGTAAGATGGTTCAGAACATTACTCTGTATTAGCAAACTGACTCTGTGTGTATATTTTGTTTCTTAATGAAGGCTGGTTGGATTCCTTAACACTAATAAAAATGGATAAGTGGGTAAAGTTCTGTGCTCTTGTGCTCAACTGTGCGGTTCTCCAAATGACATGGCTGAATAAAACAGCACTGAAAATACAGTTTGTCAAATCCAGATCTCTCTCTCACTTTTCTGTAGATACTCTGGCACAATGCTCATGCAGAACAACAGGAAAACAAAACTCAGCTTTGGACAAGTTTCTCTTCTGTGCAGACCAGTAGTAATAGAGACACAGGGCTTAGTATGACAAAAATACTTTCACAGTAAGTAATAAACCATTTCTGCGCTTCACGAGTGCATTAAGCACAGTGACTGCTCTGTAAAAGGATCCACATTTCTCTATATAAGTAACTCACATTAAGTCCAAATTCACTGGGATGATTTGGGATCAGCTCAGTGCCTTGATGCTCTCAGCCCTGGTAGGTTTAATTCTAACTGGGGCATATGGAGTCCAAAATACCTCCAAAGCCCTCCATAAGGAGCTGAATGAGGACAGCCCAAGGTCATGCGGAAGTTAACCCATGTCTGAGCATGATGATCCTGAAAGGTCCTTCCCAAGCAAAATCAGTGTAGTTTCAAGCCCTGGCTTTTTCAGCCCCTCCAGGATGAACTGCTCTTCTCCAAATGGTTACTCCAGCAGCATGGAGCCCAGGTCTCTGACATAAATGAGGTTAAGGGGCATGGCTCCAGGCCTGGTTAACAGCCGCCTTCTCCCTTCACAGCAAAAACCTTGTGTCATTAAAACTCCAATCCCTGGTGTCTGCACTGACCCCGCACAGTTCCAGTCTGTTCAGCTATAAGCAAAGATGGACAACTCTGACCCTCACCTTACCTGCAGCTTCACCACCCTGACCATACATCACAGAGCACACTGCATGGGGCACAGTGCTGCAGCAAACACGAAGGTAAAGGGAAGGGCAGCTTTCCCACAACTCATTCAACAGGCAGGCTGGCTTTATTATCTGTCAAATGTATAAATGGGTAACCTGGGTCTTGTTACATTCCGTTAATAGGAAATTCTTTAAATTATTAACATAATAAATAACATTCACTCAGCTGTGCAAGTCAGTGCAAAACTACTTGCACCACTACCAGAGCAGATAGCTCAAAGCACATAGTTCAGGTTAAAAGCAAGGTGCCAGGACTGAATGGCATGATTGAGGCACTTGCAGTTTAAAACACCTCCATGGTGGTTTATCTTGCTCCTTTACCACCCAAAGCTGTGAATAAGGAGACAGAATATTATCCCCTATCCTACAGCTTTAAAGAAGCATTCATGTAGAAAAATTCCCTCTTCAGACTTGAAAAGAACTCAATCATTAAGTAAAATAAAAGTTACTCTGCTCCTCTTCTGAGTACTCAGACATCCACTGCCATTAATGCTAATGCAACACAGCAGAACATGAACTAGGAAAGCTTTTAGAATAGAGCTCCACAGAACACCTTCAGAAGGGTTTGCCTGTTCTCCCTTACACTCAGAAGTTTCAGTAACTCAGAGGTTGAGGTGCCTGCAGAACAGAGTTGGCAAAAGCCCTTCGGGCTCAAGGTCACAGCACCATTCCCCAACAAGATGCATCTTGAGAAGCCTCTCACTGCACAGCTGGATCATAGCATGAAGTCACACTGGCATTTCTCACACACTAACCCACATAAATGTGCAGTGCTTGGTGTGCTGAAAGGGTAGGGACTGCTGGAACCACAGCATGAAGGGAACTAGTGCAGACCTACGGTTAGATTCAGTGGCTTGGTACCTTAGAAATGGACTGTGATTGAAGCTAGACCATGATACATACATCAAACCCAGGGATGGAGAGTTAAGGGTTTCAAAAGTGCACTTAGCATATAGTAGTCTCTTTCACACAGCAAGAAAGGCAGCTGCTTTATATCCAGAATGTGAGACGGTTTGACAGAGAAGGTTCAAGAACCTCTCCTGCACAATAGTCAGTAGTCCCAGCTGATATCATCTTTCTGTAGTGAAGTCTGTATGGTCTGCATGTCTCTCAGCAACTGAAGGTTCTTCCGACTCTTCTCTCCAGGTTTCACTTTGATGGGACCAGCATTCTTGCCTTTCGTGGTTACTGTAGTTGTTACTTTAACCTCACTAACAGGGAACCTGTCTTTTCCTTGTTTAGCAGAAGTCTTTCTGGACTTGCATTCCCTCTTAAGTCTCTCAAGCTGAAAGAGAATCCCAAAGAAAAAGATTAAGCAGTGACCTTGTTTCAGTTCATGTTATGTTGAGCAATTCTTCCAGACAGCTGCAATACCCCACTGCTTATCTCACCCAGCTCAGCAGATGGATGCCTCCAGTCACCCTGAGTCATAAGTACTTTATTTTCCTTACACAGCATTCTGTGTTCAGCTGTGTCCCTGAACTCTAGGTTCTCTCTTTAAAAACAAGTTCATTATGGAGGAACATCTGTATTATGGATAACAGAAAAAGTTATTTACAACAAAAAGTTGGCTTCTCACTGCTGGCATTCAGTGATTTTAAAAACAAACAGAAAACAAGTTTTTCTACATAAACTGACTTCAATAGCTAGTTACTATTATATATATTCAATAGTTAGTTTAAAGAGATGTAGCTTTAAAAGAATATCTTAACTCTGCTGAGGTGGAGAGCTGGTATCCACACAGCACCAGAGATCACAGCTTGTGATACTCAGTACTCAGCAACAAAGACTGAACTAGCTGAAACCTGAACAGGACAGCTTAAGATACAGACATATTCATGCTCTCAAACTGCAAAGTGGTGGCTCCTTGGGCTCCTCAAGTAGTGGCACTCCCTCCTCCTAGGTTACAGCATGCAGCAACTTTCTTAAATCCCAGCTCCTAGACCTTTTACCAGTAGTGAGTGAGGAGCCTCAGTCTATGCAAACCCATTATTGTCAGGAACTACTGCACATCTGTTTCTGTGCAACAGTTCCTCTGAAGATCCTGAGATCAAAGGTGAGTAATGCTTCTAACTGGAAACACTTCACATATCCATTCTGGATGTCAGCAGCAGTGCTCCCAGTACATATTTTGTGTGTAAGTTGCATCAGGTGAGGATGAATCTTGGTTCATACGAGCTTAACCAGATTAAACACATGAGGTTAAGGTCTTTGGAAGAAATTCACTAAAATGAATGAAAATCAGGGAAAATAAGGAATCATCAGGTCTTATGGCTTTGAATGAACAGGCCACACTATTCAAAACATCTTGAAAGGAGCTTTGAGCAACCTGGTCGAGTGGAAAGTGTCCGGGCCCATGGCAGGGGGCTGGAACTGGATGATCTTTAAGGTCCGTTCCAACCCAAACCATTCAATGATTCTATGAAACAGTCCTTCAGGTTTTATAAAGTGCAAATCAAGATGTAAATAGGTCATTTACTGCAACCAAAGGAGAACGGTTAAAACATTCAAGGGATGAGTGGAGTGTAAAATGAAATAAAGAAACAGATGGGAAAGCTCTGCCCAGGACAGGATAAGGAGAGGGCACAAGGGTGACACAGTAAGACAGAAAGATGACTTCTGCAGAAATAATGGGATGCAAGGATGGAAGTACACAGACTAACTTTGGGACATCAAAGCCAGAGCTAGGCACTACTGCTCTAAAGCAGTTATTTCTGCTCTATTCAACTGCTGCTAGATTAGGATACAACATGAAAAAACCCCTCAAGACAGCAGCTCTGCAGAAGCATGAACACAGTCAAGAGCAACTCACCTGTAATCGGTGCCTCCGGACTTTGCTGATTTGGTCTGCCTTTGCTTCCATCTTTCCCACCAGTGCCTCAAGTTCCCTCTCCAGTTCTTCCCTCATTGCAGTGGTTGGGGCTTCCTGGACAAGCTTTGACAGCTGCTGGTGATCACTAGCATGGCATTCACACAGAACAAGGCTGTATCAGACCCCCTTGGCTTCCAGTGCTTGTATTCCCAGTTCAGAAATAACACTTTAAGGACACTACAGCATCAGCAGCCAGCCACATTCAACGTGCCATGGCCACCCAGTGACAACAGTTGTGCTGGTCAGCAGCATTATTACAGTAGCACATCGTGCTGGCAGGCTTCTGCAACACGAAGTCTCAGCAACATAAAGAGCTTCAAGCTTCAAGCCACACATTCAACATGACCAAGTAACTGCTTGAGGGCATGATCACAGCACTCACTCAGTTACTACTCTGTGTAGCTGTATCCACTGCAGTTATGCAGTAGGCTGACAATTCATGTTCTGTTAACTAGGACAAGAAAACCCACAAGTATTGCATCAAGGGCACAAACACACTAGTACAGATTGGGGAACGACCTGTTAGAGAGCAGTGTAGGGGAGAGGGACCTGGGGGTCCTGGTGGACGACAGGGTGACCATGAGCCAACACTGTGCCCTTGTGGCCAAGAAGGCCAATGGCATCCTGGGGTGTATTAAAGGGGGTGGTAGAGGTCGAAGAGGTCCTCCTCCCCTCACTCTGCCCTGGTGAGACCCACTGGAATATTGTGCCAGTTCGGCCCTCAGTAAAGGACAGGGACCTGCTGAGAGAGTCCAGCAGGGCAACTAAGATGATTAAGGGAGTGGAGCATCTCCCTTATGAGGAAGCTGAGGGAGCTGGTCTATAGTTTGGAGGAGATTGAGGGTGACCTTATTATGATATAAATATATAAAGGGGAGTGTCACAGGATGGAGCCAGGCTCTACTCAGTGGCAAACAATGAAGGACAAGGAAACTTCTCCCCTACCACTTATGAATTCAGTACTGCTACATATAAACAGAAGTACAGGGTTCAGACCTCTCTTTAAGTGCAAGGAGAAACGACAGGCTCCACAGCCAGCAGAACAAAGGGATGATATGCCACAGACTTCCTAAAACTAACACCTTTCTCAGGCAAAACATTCCAACTTTAAAAGCAAAAGGCAAAAAACAAAGCATCTACATTCACCATCTGCAACTGAGAATACACCCAACTCACAAACTCATCTGTCCAAATTCATCTTGTAAAGTCAGCAACACTTCTGAGAGCTCTTCCTGGGATGAAGAGGAGTCCTTCAGCAGAGATGACTTTCTGCTTTTGCTGGCAGGATGACCAGTACCGACGGGTTTTGCTAGTGGAGCATCATTTACCACCCGACTGTTACACAAAGCTTTTGTGTGCTGTTTCATCAGGTGTAGGACATGCTGCACGTTGGCACCAACTGAATGACTGGGACTGGTAGACTGGAAGGAAAAGTAAAAGAGACTCTTTTATACAGCACTGTCAACAACCTACTTGATAAAATGGAGAACATTTAAAAACTGACTTTTTCTGCAGTCAATAATGTATTTTTTGTTTCACTGAATATGCACTAACAAGAACAGCCTGACAAGCAGCAGAGAGAACCCATTTTTGGAAGTGCCAGTTCAGCAAGTTTAGGATATTCAACAAGCCTTTTGAAGACAAACTGGAAGAAAAAAGTCACAGAACATTAAGCGATTTGGCCACTGGGTGTCAGGAGCGGTCCAAACCAAAGCCACTGAAGGAGCTGCAGCTCCTGAGCATTCCATTTCAGGATTAGTGGCACTCACCTTCCCAGCTACAAAGGGCACATCACCCAGACGCAGTCTGTAATGGGGCTGTGCAGTGAGGTGGCTTGCAGGAGAGCACTTCTGCAAAGAAAGGAGAAATGTTTTACAGATGACACCACAGCAAACTCATTTTCCCTTTGTTTTGTAAAAAAAAAGGCAACCTACATCCTGATTGCCTGCACACCCCTCACATAACTCCTCAGTAACTGCCCTTCTATGGCCCCCTGTTACCTTCTCTGGCTGCTTTGTTTTCTTCGTGGGCTTTCTTGCTTTTGGAGAAAGTAATGGTGATGCTGCTTGAATCAGTCGCCTGTTGGTTTCCAGGCCTGTCTGAAGCTTAAGTGAGGGAGTAAGGGGAGTTACTGGAATGACATTACCAGATAATCAGAGACAGAATAAGCTGAGAATTGCAAAACAATATTATCTAAAACACAGGCTCTCTGAAAGCGAGGGCTGCAAGTTTCTAGGATGCTTTTGCAGTTCAACGTCAATTAAAACAGAATGCTTCCTCTGGCAGCACTGCTCATCACTGATCCTAGTAAGTTAGAGTTCATCTTACTGCATTACTCCTGTGTAGGCAAGTGCCAAAACATCAGCTTTGCTTTACACTTGACAAAGCATTAGGAAACTCAAGCCACCCAATCCTGCTCAGTTACTCTGGTGGCATGCAGTTAATAGACTTACTCCTTCTACTAAATTTGGTAGTTAAAAAAACCCCAAAACCAGAAAACAAAGAACCTTCCCCCCCAAAAAAACAACCAACCAACCAACAAAAAACAACAAACCCACAAACAAATAAAAAAAAACAACACCAAAACACCCAAACCCAAGCAAACCATCTATTGGAAAAGTCAAGGTCAGGATTCTCACTGTCAGCAGCGACCTCTATATACTTCACTTGCTGTTCCTTCCAAGAGGAAGCTATGGCATGGCTTTAGAAATCATCCCCTACCTTCCAATACCCTAAGGGGGCCTATAAGAAATCTGGAGAGGGACTTTTTCAGGGGCTGTAGGGACAGGACAAGGGGGAATGGATTTACACTGAAAGAGGGGAGATGGAGATCAGCTATTAGGAAGCAATTCTTCCCTGTGAGGGGGGGTGACTGCCCCATCCCTGGCAGTGTTCAAGGCCAGGCTGGAGAGGGCTTGGAGCAACCTGCTCTAGTGGAAGCGGGTTGGAACTGGATGAGCTCTGAGGTCCTTTCAACCCAAGCTGTTCTATGATTCTAAGAATTTAAGACACCCATCCCAGCCCCTAAAACTCATGGTAAATATTAATGCTAGACCCTAACATTGTTACTACATATTCTTCAGCATTCAACGAATATGAAATTAACAGAACTCTTCAAGGTTAGGAGAAGACCAGCATCCTTATGGGCTCATAACCAATAGTATATTGCTTCTTTTTTGCCTCCCTCTACAATATTTCTAGGTACAACTACAAACGAGCACAATTGTTGACCTTGATCTTTTTAAAGCAGAGAGATACTCATACATCCTCAAGTATGAATTAATTCTGCATTTCTACTCCTCTTCCAATAAGCTTTAGTGCGGGGGTGCTGTTAGAAAAAGGTTTCCAAAAGGCTCAAAGGACTTCAGGACATCCAGCACCTCAGAGAGGAAGGAAAACACAAACAAACAGATAAATCCCAAACCAAGAAAGCTAACCCAAGGCTTTCAACACTCTGTCTAGGGGAGGCCTGTTCAGCAAGTTAGCTGAAAAGCTGCTGGAAAGGAAGAGCTAATTACAGCACACACCAGTACAAAAGAGACTTCCTGCTGCTTACCTCAGCTGCTTTTTCCTGAACAAGCTTCCTCGCGTGTTCTTCCTCCTGAAGCTTCTGTTCCAGCTCTTTCATTTTTTTCTGGTCAAAGGTGAATAGAAATACTAGCATTACAAATGAAACAAATCCTTTTCTCCCCTGAAGCCTACAGTACCAAGAGCTTGGGCAAAGTATACGAGTTCAACTTAATGAGTTAAAGTGAAGTGAAGATTTCAGTATCAGAATGCTGGCTGATGTTTCATCTATATAGGTATAAATACAGCAGTCAAGTGCTTAGGCTTTAACCTCATAGATTTTTCTATTTTTACTTCCACAACTGGTATCTGAACACAGGTTGCAGCCTACAAGGGAGAATAATACACACAAGGCTGGCTTTCTCTTCAATGTAAAGAACAACCTAGAAAATAGGTTGTATTGTGTACATTATACTGGAAGATTTCGTACTACAAAAGGGCTAACAAGGTCTATCGGGTATCATTATAAGCAGAGGGAAAGCTTTATTTAGAACACTAATGGTATTTTTGCTGATATCTATAACTTACGCTCTTAGAAGAAAGGAATTTTGGAACATCTAGCCATCTTCTAATAAAGAAGAAGGAGGAAACCTTCTCTGATGCCCCTGAGATATCCTTAAGTAAAACTGAAGTGATTCCATCTTTTTATAGTAAAAAGATGCAAGAACTCTTTTGAAAGCATCTTTCAAAAAGCTAAGGGAAAGGCACACACTTCTTTGTAAACCTTCCAGCAAGATGAAAACCTTGTTTAGGCAGGATACACTTAAGCTCCCAATGTGAAAGTTATCTTTCTGATTTTATACAACGGAATGAAAAAATGATCCAAAGCTCCAGGACATGAAACAACTTCCCTCCTCCTCCCCCAAAGCCTGATCGTTCCCAGAGCCACTAATCAAAGTCAAGGCAGAGGAGCAACATAACTCAAAGCAACAGCTGTATTTGTACACTTGTTTGTTAACAAACTCACTACACTGGGCTTGCTAAATATTTCAGTTCTGCTTTACCCAAGCAGCAACTTCAAGATTCATGTAACCAGCTGTTACACAGAGGTTTCAAAAGGTAAAACCCTGGATAAAACATTGAGGACAGAGGCACTACATAAACCAACCACCTTTTTCTGTTGCACAGAAGGAACAGTTTTGGCTTCCCCTGCCCTCCCCCCACTCCCCCAAAATCAGATACATTCCACATAACTTAAAATCATTTTCTCTCCTTTACACTATGCAGGACAACGGTTGATTTTGATGTGGTCAATCTAATGAAGACCTTTAACCTGTTAAGCATGACAGGATTTGTAAGACGGTAATACTTGAAACAAACCTGTTTTAACTGAAGACTGATGAGAGAGACCTTTTACAAGGGCCTGTAGGGACAGGACAAGGGGGAACAGCTTTAAACTGACAGAGGGGAGATTTAAATTAGGTATTAGGAGGAAATTCTTCCCTGTGAGGGTGCTGAGGCACTGGCACAGGTTGCCCAGAGAAGCTGTGGCTGCCCCATCCCTGGCAGTGTTCAAGGCCAAGCTGGATGGGGCTTGGAGCAAGCTGCTCTAGTGGAAGGTGTCCCTGCCTGTGGCAGGGGCTTGGAACTGGATGAGCTTTAAGGTCCCTTCCAACACAAACCATTCTGTGATTCTATGAAGACAGGACAATGTAGGTAGCATACAGCCACAGCATGTGAGGGTTCATCACTTCTGCTGTTCATAGAACAGTGAGGGGTTTTGGCATTAAGATCTATTACTATCAACTAAGGTTCTTCAAGAAATGTCATCTACACATACATTCAAATTCTGGTTATCTGGCCACATATGAGAGCAGAGCCCAGACTGTGCTTTTAGGGAACAACCTTGTTCCCTTATTCCAGCTTCAGACATAGACATGTTCAGATCTTCTCACTCAGCTATCCAGAGGCTGCACTGCAGAACTACACTTGCAATATACACTAGAAACTGCTTTTGAGGCAAGTGCTCCAACTGATACTTCACACGCTTCCTTTTCACTTCCTTGTCACAGGCAAACTGCCTGAAGGTAATACTTACAGGACCAGTGAGTGGCTCTGCAGAGATTAAATACTCTCCATAAGACCCACATATATCCTGTGCTCTGGCAAAGTGTCTGAAATCAGAGGCAGTTAAATCCTTGCTTGCTCATGTGCAGCCACCTCACCACTTGCCATCCATTTCAGCACACCTTGTATAGAAATAGTCTCTCTTATCTATTTCTTCCTTCAAATTCAACTTGGAAATGTTCCTGTGGTCTTGCCACCATTACAGCAGAGATCAAAGAGGCAACAGATGCAACTGTTTTGAGTAGAGAGTACAGTCACTCTTTTGGGATTACAACGTCACACTAAGCACATGGATGCTCATACAGGAATATAGCCTGCAAACACAAACCTGTCAATCAGAGAGTGCTCAAGACAGCATAATGATCAAAGAAAATGACTTTTAGTCACAGCTAAACCCGTATCTCAGTTCCTAGAATTGCTCCAAAATTACATGAATTTAATATCAAATTCCACTAAAACAGATTTAACTGGAACAGCCACTAATTCCTAGTTATAAAAGAATCAAAGGCATCTACTTTGATCCAGAAAAAAAGTTGTTAGGCTGAAATGATTTTCACCAGCCAGGCACAAGATGACAAACCATCCAGCCCCACCAATCCCCAGCTGCTACCAGTGAAAACACTTGGCAAAAGCCCTTCAGAAAGGAATTCTGGTTTCTGAACCAGTTATTTCAACACTGACCCTGGAGGAACCCACTGCTACTTCCAGTGAACAAAACCCCAGAGACAGTCATTTCTGGAAGAGTTTAGCTCAACTAAACAATACAGGCACTTGTACTCCACAACTGCAGCTCACCACAATGGGGTGTCAAGATCTTAAACAGCTTGTTACAGCTGCCTTGGGTCAGGGACTTGCAAGAAATAGCTGTAGCATCTAAATGCCCTGCAGGAAACCAACTAGCTAAAGATTCACTGTCAAACATCTGGAAAAACACCATCTACTTCAGCATTTGACTTGTGTGCAGGGTAGCAAGACTACAGTTTTCATACGCCACTATCTAATCATGTACTACCTGCTCCTTTTGGGAGGCAGGTAAGAAGCTTGTAGGTAGAAGCCTCTCCCTGGTTAAGCGCTCTGTAGTTCCAGGCTTGTGAGTCTTGCAGTCTCTCTACAGCAGCAGAAAGACGTGTGTGGGCCAGACTTCAGAAGTCAACACCACAGATGGTACACAGAGAGATGTACTGGGTTTGCCTGGCAAGGTTGGAGGTGGTGGAGGTGGGAAGGCCCCAGGAGTGGCTTCTGTGAGAAACTGTCAGTAGCTTTCCCCATGTCCTATAGAGCCAATGCAGCTGGCTCCAAGACTTACTCGCCGCTGGCCAAGGCTGAGCCCACCAGTGATGGTGGTAGCACCTCTAGGACAGCATAGTTAAGAAGAGGAAAAAGTTCCTGTGCAAGAGCATCAGCAGCCAGAGAGACGGATGAGAATATGAGAGCAACAGCCCTACAGATGAGGTCAGTGCAGAAGGAGGGAAAAAGGTGCTTGAGGCACCAGAGCAGAGATTCCTCTGCAGCCCGTGGTGTAGACCACGGTGAGCCAGCCTGTGCCTCTGCAGCCCATGGATGTCCATGGTGGAGCAGATCTCCACCTGCAGCACAGGGAAAACCCCACGCTGGAGCCTGGGAAGAGCATGAAGAGTCTTTCCCTGAGGAAGAAGGAGCAGCAGAGACAATGTGTGATTAACTGACCACAGCCCCCGTTCCTCATCCCCCTGTGCTGCTGGGAGGAGAAGAGGCTGAGAAAATTGAGTCACAGAAAGAAGGTGTTCTAAGATTTGGTTTTATTTCTCATTATCCTAGTCTGACTTGATTGGCAATAAATTAAATTAATTTCCCTGAATTTAATCTGTTTTGGCATGTCAGCAATTGCTGAGTGATCTCTCCCTGTCCTTATCTCAACTCACAAGCCTGTCGCATTTTCTCTCCCCTGCCCAGCTGAGGGCAGTGACAGAGCAGTTTGGTGGGCACCTGATGTCTGTAGCCCTACATGCCTAGACACCAACCACAAAAGAGGAACACCAATAGATACCTTCAAGGCTCAAGAAAACCCCAACTCTTGTAGGGTGCAGTGACCTAAAGCCTACCTGATGATGCAGGCTTTCCTTAATAACTTTAAGTTTTCAGAACAATTCAGCTTTAAAGAGATGTTGCCATCTTTCTGTACAGCACAAAGGTTTGCTCAGCTCCGTCACTGACATATAGCTATGAAGTGCTGGCTACAACAAACAAGCTAAATCTGATGTAATATCCAATACAAATGACAGACCTCTGCTATGGACTGCATCTTAGTAAGCCTGCTGTACTCTTTTTCCAGCATATCCAGCTTTTCCAATTTAGACTGAACATGTGATTGATCAAGAAGCCGATCTCTCTCCAATGAACCCTTGAAGGGAGAAAAGGAAAACAATTATAAGCACAATAAACCAAAACCATCTGCAGTAAGCCTTGTGTCTGCAGCACAAAGGAAGCCCATAAACAGCCCATAGGAACTGCTGCTTCCTCTGTGCAGTTTCAGTGGTGCTACGATCAGGGAGCAAATTGCATCACTGGTCCACCTATGCTGGGAAGCTAACACTCAACCAGATTCAGATGAGAGAACTCTGCAGAGCCTTTCCTCCCTCTGAACCCAATGTGATAACCCCCTCCCCCCTCATTGTTCAGCCATTAGAGATAGCTTGCTTATGTTTTTTCCCCTTCAGTAAATATTTAATACTAAAATAGGACAGCCATAAAGGCCAATGAACAGATGACCCATGCTCCTAGAAAACAAAATTCAAGCTCATTTTAGGTATAGACCAACTCCCATGGTCACTGATGGTGGGAAATAGAAATTTTGCTATTATTTCTACAGAACAAAGATTTCAGCCCCAGTTTAACAAAAGTGGTACAAGTAAAGAAAACCCCCATAGATCTGAAGAATGTAAACACAAAAGGGAGCTTTTTTCCCTCAGTGGCACACGTGTTTAACACTGAGGGATGAGGATGAACTACTGTAGTAAGCCAATCATGCAGAAGCAAACAGTTCTTCCTAGTATCAGAGCTGGATTCTGCCTTACAGACAGGTGCATGGAAAATACCAGGGTCCTGATAAGACTGGAAAATTTCAAGTAGGAAGATTATCCACACCTAAGTAGATAAAGGCCAGCTGAAAGAGACATGCACACTGATAATAAAAATCACAGTAACTGTGAAAAATCATGACATTACTTCACAATTTTTATAACTTAACCTTGAGCTATCTTGAAAACACACCTGCTTCTCCAAAAGATGAGACTTCTCATTTTCTGCATGCTGGATCATCTTCCTCATGTAGACTAGCTGTTTCTCTAGAAGGCTGCACCGAGACTCAGCAGCTGCCAGCTGAGAAGCCAGTTCTGAAGATAACAGAAGGCAGAAAAGTAAATCATGCACTGCCTGTTCCTGGGATTTATTTTTCCCCTATTTTCAGAACAATTCCGAAACAAACAAAAGCACAACCTAAAGAAACTCACAGATGAAGCCTAATGAACTGCTGTATGCATGCAAATCCCTAAAACAAAGTGTGCTTATTTCTTCATAACTCCATGTGTCACTGTCAAATAAAAGACGCTGAACAAAGTAAGTTAAAATGGTTTTTCTGCATTGACAAACACCAAGTTTCATCCACCTCTATGTAAAGTTTGCAAACAACCTTGATTTTTCTTTGTCACTTCAGTCCTGTCGTGCTCTTTGTGTTGCATCTGTTCACTCAGGACTTTTTTGTAGTCTGCTGTTTCCCTGCTGAGGTGCTTCACATTCTCCTCTGCCTGAAGCCGTTCCAGCTCCAGGCGATGGATTTTTTCCTGGAGATTCTTCAGGGCAGAAAATATTGCTGCAATTGAACAAGCACCTTTTGTTAGAGGCCATTAAATCACTTCTTCAAGAGAACATTGAACCTGGAATCCTTTCATAAAAGCATCTTATGTAAGAAAGTCAGAACGTTCTTACTATCCTCCAAGACTCCTTCCAGGAATTGCTTCCCTTTAAACCAGAACTGATTTTAAAACTAGTCTCAAACTAATAGATGCACTTGGTGCTCACCTTCATCTGTTACATTCGGGACTTATCAATTTCCCAGAACAAGGCATGTAAATACTCTATAGATTCAGTGCAACTTCTGACTTTATCAAAAGGAAATGAAAGATTACAATTAAATAGCTAAAAAAGTGGCAGTTTTCTATATTCTCATTCCTCTGCAATGCAAACTAGCACAACAAATACATAAACACAACAATCCCATGACCAAGCATAGGGCAGACTAAAGGTTAGCTATCAGAAAGAGAATAAACATTTTTATAGCCTAAGTGGCAGCTCTTTTTTGACTGTTTCTGCACTTGTGTTCCCCTCCTCAAGACATGCATCTCCTTTGTGCTGAACAGCTTCTCCTCTTTCTGTTCCATTCCCTGCTTTATCAGTCACCCAACAAAACCTTCATGTATTCATCACCACAAAAAGAAAAGCAGTTGTAATAAAGCTGCCATCACCCTGCAATTAGACCATCTGCTGGTAATCTGATGTATTACGTCTCTTAGCTGTATTGTTTAACTCTGCAAAGGAACCATAACCATAAGGCCTTTCCCCTACACAGTTCTGGCAAAGTGAAACACAGGAACATCTGTATGGACAGCTCATATAGCAGACTAATCTGCAAGGTCACATTAGCTCACTCCTTTGTGCTTAAACGCACTTGTGAAATGAAATCACCTTTATTACAGAACACATGAGCACAAGAAAAGTTGCAAGTGTGTGTTTGAGCATCAGACTGAAAAAATAAAGGAAAAATAATTATCTGAATGAATTTTCCAGAGTAACAATTCAACAAATCCTGAAATGGAGAATAGCATCTTAGAGTATCATATCAGTAGACTGCCTGCTTTAAGGTACCTGTTAAGTAATAAATGGGTGACAGCAGTCAGGTAAGGGGAAAGATATAGGTAACTTGGCCCTGTTAGCAAAATCAGTCACCAGCTTTACCCTATTCTTTACCTATACTACTGTTATCAGGATTCAGCTGAAATAAGCATAGCTGAAACTATGAAAAGCTTTGTTACTATTATACTTAGAGCTAAACTGAAATATCTGTGTATTTACAATAGTGACTAACAAAATACAGCAAAGAAGCAATTCAAGCAATGGATAAAAGTAAAACCCAACAGCATGCCAAGTAACATTCAGTCATCCTTATTAGAGTATTAAAACCAAGTAATGCACGCTGACACACACACCACAAAGAATAAAAATAAGCAGAAATTAGTATACTGAATTTCAGGATTTTTCAATATGATATTTTATTAGTGGGCACCTCATAGCAGCCTTCCAATATGGGAAGGGAGCCTATAAGGATGCCAGAGAGGGACTCTTCAGCGACAGGACAAGGGGTAATGGGATTAAACTGAAATGGACAGTTCAGGTTAGATCTAAGGAAGAAGTTCTTTCCTGTTAGGGTGGTGAGGCACTGGAATGGGTTGCCCAAGGGAAGTTGTGAATGCTCCATCCCTGGTGGTGTTCAAAGCCAGGCTGGACAGAGCCCTGGGCAACATGGTTTAGTGTGAGGCTTCCCTGTTCATGGCAGAGGGGTTGGAACTAGATGATTTTAAGGTCCTTTCCAACCCAAACCATTCTGTGATTCTTTCTCATATTTTTCCCTTATAAGGAAAATATATCACGTTTAGCCTCCATGCAACTCCAGACCAAAAAGCACTGTTTTTGCAATGATCCTGAGCCAAACAGATCGGCCCTGCTACTATCCTCCCAACTTCCCATGCTGCCCCCTCTTCTTGCCCCAGGCAGCTTTGGAGGATGCCTCACTGCATGAAAAGCCAGTTCACTCAAACTGCAAGACTAACCTAGAATGGTTTTGTTCATGTCAGGTCAGGCAAGACGAAGAGATGAATACCACGAGCAGAGTGGGAAAGAAGGGTAAAGGAGAAGCCTAGAAACAAGGAAACAAGGAAGAAACAAGAAATATCAAGGGGGAATAAAATCACTTCCTTTTTTGGTGTTGTGAGCCCTCAGTTCTACACTGGATTCCTTTCTATATCTCTTAAGTCTTCACTGACATCATATTCTTGCTACACCCTTTGTCCATCACAGCTTTCCCATTTCAACAGGGCCAAACCTCTTCCTTTGCTCCAAACCATTATGGTAACTAATGCTTCCTTATTTCAAATTCAGCTGTGATCTTGGGAGGGGGAAGATGGAAGGAGGGCTGAAGAAGGGACAAAGAAACATGTCAGGACAGTTTCACAAACTACATGGCCAACATTACAGCTCTCTACTGAAGAGGAACACTTTTCTCCAGCTCCATGACCTTTCTCATTGGGTATTCTTCGAATAAGAAGTGTAAAGGACCTACAGAACAGGTGACCTGAACACCAATGGGAAGTAACAGAAGGATAAAAGACAGCAACCTTCGTAGGTATGGGCACACAGTATTTCACCACCTCATTTGGAACCAGCTAAGAAAACAATTTTGCTGAACTATTACCTCTGCTGTTGCTTTCAGGATATGGAATTACTGGTTTCCGTGGAGAGCGCACCAGATCTGAATTAATAAATGGCTTGTGCTTTGGGTATTCTATAAATGAAGTTGCAGAGAGCCCATCTGTGGCTGACACAGAGTTACTGGTTTCATGCAGATCATCCTGTATAAGAAAACAAAGCTGTTACTTAGCACATTTGTTTCTGTGTCACAACAACAAAAGATTAGAATCCGATTAGACGATGTGCAGAAGTATTGCTGCAGGGGACTAATACCCCAAAAGTTGTATTCCCTTCCCTACAGCCTTAGGCTCTGTCATTTTTACATCCAACTCCCCTCCACTAAAAATAGTATCAGAAAGAAAATGTATTTTCCATCCTATTTTCTGATTTCTGTTTTCTACTTACTTATACTGTCTCTTGCTCATTGTGAGACGGCAATACACAGTCAGTTGGAAAATAGCTACCGCCTTAACTACAGGTTACACTTACTGCACACAAGACACTACTAAGGTGGCCAAAGCCCATAAAGCACACCCAGGACCACACCACATTTCTACATCTGCCCATCCAGCTTAATAGCTCACTGCCTGTAGCTGGGGCAGAGGACATGCTCTCTCCCCACCTCACCTTCCCAGCTGTATAGTTCCAACTTCTTTTCCACTGCCTTCAATTCACCTTTCCTGTCCTTCCATGAATAGACTGAGGCTCACCAGCAGGCACATCTGGATGATTTTATGCTATCTATACCTGATTAGTGGTATCAGCAGACCACAGCCAGGAAGGTACCTCTGTCACTGAGCAGCAACGTGCTGTTAGATGAGCTTGAGGCTGTGCTCAAAAACACAGCCATAAAGACCACGCATTACCCAGTGCCTACACCAAATGTCCAAACACTTACCGTGTTTTGTATGTTTCTAACAGGGCTCTTATAAACAAAAGGACCACAGCACCACATACTGCCTTTATGGTTAAATCCAAACCTGGCTACCTGGCTGAAGCTTTCTGATTTGTGTATACCAACTAAATAAAATATAAATGCTTATTTTTATCATGCAAGTAATTTCTCCAATGTACCCACCACTAAACATCTTAATAACAGGATTTGAAGGCAACCTAAGAGAGAAGTGAGCTGGAGGCAGATGCAATGCTCCTACAGCTTTCCACAATGCCTTTACTTCACTATGTCAACTGAGCGCTTGCTGATCTCGGTGGGGTTTCCTTAAGCTTCTGCAAATACAAATTATTGGGAGCATATTGTCACCCAAGTTAAAATACATAAATATTTATGTAAATAGCTCACGAGAAATTAAACAACAGCCCCAAATGCATTATGAGGAAGAAAACTAATACAGGGTGAAGAATTAAGAAAATTTCCAAGTTATTTAAAGCCTATACAAAACTGGTTTCCTATTATAAATTAAGTGATTCATTGTGGGCAAGAAAACTAGGACAGTGAATACTCTGAATGGGTCAATCACCATTTCTAAGCACAGTTCTATGAATGCTTTTGGTTTGTGTTTATAAGATATTTCTACACAAAATACTTTTGCTTTTCTTGGAATAACTGTACTTGCACAAGAACTTTTGCTACCACAGAAAGCCAATTAAAACACTAATTCCTAATTAAGAATATATTAATAACAGTATTTTGAACAGGTTTTTTAACACACTGGTTTACACTCAGCAGCTGCATTGCTCTAATTAGAATATGTGGATTTAAAACCAAAGGGAAGCCTGTGACGTGTTAGCAGGAAGACCTACACCTCACCCCTGCAAAAATGTCATCAGTGTTACAAGGATGCTGGAGAGGGACTCTTCATCAGGGGCTGTAGCAATAGGACAAGGTTTAAACTTTAGAAAGAAGAAGTTCAGGTTGGATATAAGGAAGAAGTTCTTTCCTGTGAGGGTGGTGAGGCACTGGAACAGGCTGCTCAAATAAGGGGTAAATTGGTCCATCCCTGGCAGTGTTCAAGGCCAGGTTGGACAAAGTCTTGGGTGACATGGTCTAGTGTGAGGCATCCCTGCCCATGGCAGGGGGTTGGAACTGGATGATTTTAAGGTCCTTTCCAACCCAAACCACTCTGTGATTCACTGTTGAATTGATGAACACAGAATAAAAGACCAAATAACAAAGTAAAATTGAACTGAGCAAAACACAGTCCTTTGTGCAGCAGACAACAGAGTAACAGAAGCAACGTAAGTCTCAGCAATCCAAATGCTAGTACCTACTGATTCAAATATTAATATACTATCTGCCATTGAGTCACATCAAAGGTAACCCATGAAACACAGAAAGGGGAATCAGTTTGAAATGCAAGCACGGCTGCCAGCATCACAGCTTTCCTTACCATCTTTATGTTTCACCTGTAAAATCCTGTCTGTCAATTAAAAATAACTACATAGGAAATCCAAACGACAGGAGTTGTTTGTTTTTACCTAAGCATCAAGCTCCACAAAGCAAAACAAACACAGGCTTTCCACTACTCGTATGACTTCTAAATTTCACCTGGATGCAGTGAACAGGCACTGATTTGAATAGTGTAATATCTGTCATAGATATCTCCTTGACATAAATACTGCAAAAAATATGTGAAAAACTGTCTGTTTCATAGGCAATCATTCCTCACTTCAGTCTAAATAACCACTTGCTACCAGGTGTATTTCCCGTTTAAGTAAAAGAGAGATTTATATTCTGTTTCACAGATAGTGACTTCTAAATAACCCCAGTGAAAAATCTGAGGAAGGTTATAGAACAGCATCAAGCAATTTCCCAGTACAGATCCCAGACTCAAACATCACACCAACTCCCTGCTCTTCTCCTCAATTTCTCTCCAATCATAAAGATTTATTTTAGTCTGTTTCTGCCACTGGGAATTCTCACAGGGAGCATCATGCTGTGATGCTCAGGAAAATCCTGAAATGTAGCAAAAACCAAACACCACCATATGAAAACCAGAGAGCTCTCTATATTTGTTCTGAAACAGCTAGGCCATATTTGCTGACTAATCACTCTTCCTGGGTACTCCCTATAGTCTTTCCTTCCTTAAGACACACTAAAGCCTCAGAATAGTAACCAAAGGAGCTCAGCAGTCCCACAGGAGTTAAGTGCAGCAGTGCGAGGTTAACAGTAGTGAGCTGAACACATTTAATCCTTACAGGTCTGAAGACATGACCTTCCAAAATTCATTGCTGCTACCACTGCATATCCCTTGCCTACTCAAGCATGCAGAAGGAAACATTAAAACCACAGAGCAGTAATAGCTTAACACACCAGTAGCACATGGTGGCCTCAGAGACATCCCAAAGACTAAACCAAACACAGTGGAGGGGGAAAAACAAAACCTCTCATCACTGAAGTAAGAATCAGCAGCTTGGGGCAGAGGGACACTTTTCAAACCAAACAACTTCTGCAGGTGGTAAATATGACCCATCAGGACACTGTTACCTTCTCTGATGCAGTAAAGAAATACAGCATAGCATGGAAAAGCTATTCAGAAGACTTGATGTTTCAGTAAGGAGAAGGAAAATCATGAATCTGTTTTTCTAGCTATCATATACAATGATCCATGGACAGTAAAAGTAACAATTATTTATAAATAAAGTGTAGAGCCAACGAGGCATAAAAGTGCAGGAAGCCTCTTGAGCAGTAAGTGCAGCAAGAAAGCATGAGGGCACCAAGTTGACACTTTGGCACTGGGAAAAAGGACTAAATTAGAGTGGGTGCCACTGCATGGTCTTATATGGGAGCTCAGAAAAGAAACAGAACACCAACAGGGAAAAAAAGTGCTTGGTAATGCCCTAAGTGACAGTAGTGCTCACACTTGGTTAAGAGAAATTAAAGAACGGGGCAGAAACAGGGCAGAATTATGTAGGGACTGGGCCAAACACCCCAGAATAGCCAGGTATTCAGTTCAATGAGCATAAATATCTAAGTACGTAGCTATTAAAACTTTCAAATAGTCATTTTGGAGGCACAACCCCAGCAGCCTGCCCTCGTGGCACAGTACTGTGTTACTGCAGGGAGAGTGGGGAAGAAAGAACAAACCCCTATCACCCGCAGACCAACTTCAGCGCTGCCTGTGCCTCCCTGATACAAGCTGAGTCAGGAGTGGTCTAAATTTAAGTAATAACCCTAGTTAAAAGCAAACATTTAAGAGTAAACTTAGTCATTACACTTAACGGGGAAAAATGTTGTCACAATATAGTATTTTTTGTCTAGTTTCTTCTACAGCACATCAGGTGTATTGAAGACAACTATTTTCAAAGTTCGTAAAGTGTAAAGTTGCTTTTTTCCCCTTTTCCCCATCACTTACAATAAGTCTTCAGCAGGGCAATTTTGCTTTGTTTTTGTATTCCCCCCTTCCTCCTTAAATGTTTTATTAACTAACTAAATTAAACAGCCTATATTCATTGTCTTAAGACCAAACCTAGCTTTCTGACATACTTCTCTATGCATGCCAGAAGAAATACCTGTTAGGAAGGATACAGATGTCCTCAAATTAATCGCTCCCCACTTGCTGGTACAGGTACAAATACAGGACCATGCTGCAAAGGAGACAGTTTTCCAAAGGGAAAACACCAAAGCTGGGTGCTCGCCATGCAGCTGGTGAGATCCCAAATCACAAGACCTTATGAGACCATCATGCTGCACCCCGGTCACCATCTCTACTCCTCCAAATCATGGTGAAGACACGGCTATTTACGAAACAAACCGCATAAAACCCAGCCAAGCCTCTGGCTCTTCATAACACCAGCACAGCCATGGGTCCTGCCCCTTCTCCATGCTCAGCACCTTGAGAGAAACGTGAATGAGGGACCTGGCCCCCATGTTACGTCCAAAGGTGCCAGGTGCCCACACCGCACCTCTGGACACAGGTACACACCAGTTACACCTCAGTTGAAGGTAAAGTTTTTATCTCACACATGAAAACAACCGGAGGCTACATCCCTACCAGCAATCCAGAAGGAAGCAAGGGCTGCTCTCCTAGCCCGACTGACCTGCAATGACACAATCAACTGCTGGAGTCTCACCTGACTACGGAACAGGCGTTTTCAGCGTCATGACCCCAAATTATTTCCGAAAATAAACCAAATTGCAACGTTTTATTCCCATTCGCTTACGAATATATTCTCCAAACACTGACACGGGGGCAATACGAGGAAAAGTTTAAATAACAGAGAAGCTTTAGCCTTTTAGATCGCTTCTACAAAACACACGTGCATATACGAGGGGCTTATATATATATACACACACCCCCATCTCTCCTTTAAAGGAGACAGCACCTCTCACGGCTCTCCCGGGCGGCCAGGCCACGGCCCCACACCGCCCCTGCCCCGCGGCCGCACCACCCGCCCTTCCCCTCACCGCGGCTGTCCCGCAGCGCCACAAGCCCCAGAGGAGCCCGGCAGCCCCGGGCACCTTGCGGGATCACCCCGCGCCACCGCCACGCCTCACCGTGCGCTGATGAGGAGCCGCCGCCATGTTGGCTACAGAACTAAGCCAGTGCCTGTCCCTTTAATGCGCGGCACAGCGCGGCGGCGACACCTCCCGCGCCAATCCTGCCCCATAGGACTGACAGCCCGGCCAACCAATGGCGAAGGAGCAGCTGACGGCGTACGTACGCTCAAGCTTGAGTGACACTTAAGACAACCAATAGAAAGAGAGGTGGGCCCAGCTCAACCAATCGCTTGGGTGGGGAGGCGGGCAATAAAAGGAGAGCCTCTGAGGCGCATGGCACTCCCCGCGCACGCGCGGGGAGTAGACGGCGGAAGAGGATGGTCTTTGTCAAAGTGAACCTTCCCCCCCCCCAATTTCAACCAATCGGAAAGCAGGAACCACCCGGAGCGGTTCAATCAGCACCGCGGCCGCACGGCTACCCAATCATCGCCCACGGCAGGGTTAGGGAGCCCGAGTCGGGATTGGCAGAAGGGGGATCAGCGGGGGCGGCGATTGGGCGGTGAGTTTTGAAGGCAGGTTTGGCGCGAGGCGGTGATTGGCTGCCGCCAGAGCCCGAGCCCGGGGCGGAGGGAAGGGCGGGGGGCGCGGGGTGACGCCGCTGCCGACACAAGGGGGCCGCGGCGCGGGCTCGGCGCGGGGCCTAGGGCGGTGGAGGGGCGCTCCGCAGGCGCGGCGGCGGCGGGAGGGGACGGGCGGCGGCGCCTTCCTGGCGGCCCAGGCGGCCGCTCCCGGCCCTCGCCCCGGCACCTCCCTCGTCCCCTCCCTCGGCCCGCCCGTGTCCGCCCCGCGGATGGCGGCTGCGGCGGCGGCCGCCCCGGCTCTTTATGCCTGCACCAAGTGCAATCAGCGGTACCCGTTCGAGGAGCTCTCCCAGGGACAGCAGCTCTGCAAGGTGCTGGCGGGGGGGGGAGGCTCGGGCGGCGGGGCCGGGGTCCCGCAAGCGGAGGAGCCGAGAGGAGGGTGTCGGCCTCGGGGCAGGGCAGTAACGCGCTGTTCTATCCGCAGGAGTGCCGGATCGCCCACCCCATCGTGAAATGCACTTACTGCCGGTCCGAGTTCCAGCAGGAGAGGTACGGGAAGGGGCCCTGTGCGCGCCCGGCTCGGGTCCTGCCGCGGGCAGCGCCCGCAGGAGCGGCGGTTCCGCCCGGTGTGACCGGTAGTAACGGCGGCGATCACACCGGTGGCACCGCGCTGAGATAACTCGCCCGCTCGAGCGGAGCGGCGCGGCGCGGGCGTGCCCGGCAGCGCGGCCGTAGAGGTGTTGGCTGGTGTTTCACTGCTCCCCGCAGCCCGTGTGTGAGCTGTGCGGTTACTGCATGGGGAAGAGTTTGGAGGAGCGTGCTTGTCGCTGGCTTCAACACTGTGCAATTTTGTCTCTAGCAAAACGAACACGATATGCAAGAAGTGTGCCCAGAACGTGAAGCAGTTTGGGACGGTGAGTAGGCTCTTGGTTCTAAATGGTGGGAGTTAACTTCACTCGTGTTTTAAGTTAAATAGAACGCTTTTGCAGTTAATTGTATTTTGTGTTGGAAATACCGAAGAAGAAGGATTACCTTTCAACAAGGTGATGAAAATCACTGGCAGCTCTTGATTGCCTCCATGGCTTATGATCTTAAGGTCCTTTCCAATCCTAACTATTCTGTGATTCTATTAGAAGCTCTTTCCTGTTAGGGTGGTGAGGCACTAGAATGGGTTGCCCAGGGAGGTTGTGAATGCTCCATCCCTGGCAGTGTTCAAGCCAGGTTGGACGAGGCCTTGGGTGACATGGTTTAGTGTGAGGTGTCCCTGCCCATGGCAGGGGGGTTGGAACTTGGTGATCTTAAAGTCCTTTCCAACCCTAACTATTCCATGATGCTGTGATTCTATGGTTATGTGTAGCTTTATAGTTAATAATGACTGCAGTGTAGCTGTACTTAGCAAAACCAGTGCTACTTTACCCTGTGCATGTAAGGTTATTCTTTATTCTCACAAACACACACTTGATGACAAAAAGGCCATTAGCTGCCTCTGTTTTTAAGGAGTTGTCAATATGAAAATCTTAATAATACCACATACTTTATATTATGGAAGTCTTGAACATTTTAAATGTACATTAATCATGTTAAGCTATTAAGTAGAAAAGATTTTATGGGTATTAGCTATATTCATGTTACTCTGCATTTCCTCATGTTGAATTTCAGCTGCAGTTACTATAAAACCACTAATTTTTCAATATACGAACACACACATTGTATCAGAGCGCTCTGCAGATACCACTTCAGAGAAGGCACCAACATAATCTTGTTGTGAAACAAATGCACACAACCTCTGTAGGCTTGACGTGAACCACATCAGATGAAATTCAGCTTATTTGGGAAACGTAACAGCTGTTGGGATGCCATCAGGCACTTTGTGAATGTAAATGTAAACTGAACAAAGAACATAATTCAGAAGATGAAAACGTGGCAAAATGAAGCGCAAGGCTTGATCCAGCAGTGGGTTTTAGCAGTAGTTCATCAAAAAACAGAACAGCATTGAGCATAATTAACCATTTCTAACTTGGGAAGGCTGGCAGCAGTTTTATTTTCCTGCAGCGTATTAATCTAAGTGTATGATATGAAAGTTGATAACCTGAGCTGATGGTATATGAAGTTGTTTAAGTGTGCTGCAGTACTGCCGGGATCATGGGACTAATCTTGGAGCAGTAGGGTTATCAAATCTCTGCATAGCGCAAGGAAGAGGGATGTTGTCAGAAACTTTCAGTCCAAAAAAAAGTTTGCTCTTCTTTTAAAGGTTTTTAAGTAGTTTCTCTTCTCTTGTTATTTCCCTTATCATTATCATTATTGGTGGTAGCAGCACTGGTTTGTGTTATCCCTTAGTTACTGGACTGCTCTTACCTCAAACCGTGGGAGTTACATTCTTTCTATTCTCCTCCCCATCCCTCCAGGAGCGGAGGTGGGGGGAGTGTGTGAGCAGGCTGCGTGGGTCTGAGTTACTGACTGCACTTAAACCACAACAGTAACTTAGTGAAACCGAGAAAATATCGTATTAAAATAAAGAAGCAGGTGTAGAGGTGAGCAATCCCATTGCTTGTGTGTTTCATTGGACACGTACTGGCTTTTCATGGGAAGCTCAGACTGATTTTAATCACTGAAGGAGTATGACTTTAGGGGAAAAGTTTAGTAAAGGGGATAGAAATGGTAGTAAAAGATTCTTTAAGATAGGTTGTATGAAGCCGTGATAGTTTAGAAGCATCATTGTGTGATTTGACACGTTGTGTTCATTGCAAACCTGTAAACGCATATTAATTTCAGTTCCACTTTCCTGCTTTGCAGCCCAAGCCTTGTCAGTATTGCAATATTATTGCAGCATTTATTGGCACAAAATGTCAGCGTTGCACCAACTCAGAGAAGAAGTACGGCCCACCTCAGACATGTGAACAGTGCAAACAGCAGTGTGCTTTTGATCGAAAAGAGGAGGGAAGAAGGAAGGTAGGCTTTGTTCCATGGCTGTCAGTGCTCAGGCTGACAACAGGCAACACTCCTCCTGCAGAAGAGAAAGATTAACTGGAATATATCTTAAGTTCACTAATATTGAAGTTGCTGTGCTTTGCAATATTTGAGTTAGGTTTCACAGCTTACTGAGCTAGGTAACTTTAAATTAAATCACTCAGCTTTAGATATAAGGTTAAGCATATGCTGGCAGTTGTAGCTGGGCAAGGTCAAGCAGCTGAACAGTTCATAGTGCCTTTGGTACTGTTTTTTCATTTTCCCATTCATTGATCTTGTGTATGTCCATCACTTGAATCTGTCATTTTACCCCTTGTGATGTGCCTGCCTTGCTGTGAAGCACAGCACCAGAGAGGTAGACTGCTCTGAGCAGCCCTTTGTGTTCCCTCTTCTCAAATCGCTTTGGTGAGTGCCTCTTTCACATTCCAGAAGGTGTGGAGGAAATGGCCTCAAAAGCCTCTTGCCTGAACCCAAGAATAGTGCTGTTTTTATACAAGGGTTTACTTATTACAAGTAACACATTAGCTGGACATCCTGATTCTGCCTGGAATATAATGGGGTTGAGAGAGGGTACCTGGTGTCTAAAACTGATTTACTCATACTGTCACTTCTGTGGTACAGAGCAAGTCCAGCATTTGCTAAGACTGCTTTCTCCTGTAACTTTAAGTGACAAAAAGAAATGGAATAAGATTCACTTTACTCAAAGGCAATGTGCTTATGTTGGAGATGTGATGGTGCCAAAGTTTCATACCAAAGAGGTATCTAGATTTTTCACAGAGATAACAGATGAAGTGAAGCAAATTTTTCTTGCATTTTTCTAGTGCAAATATACTTAGAAAATAAAACCAAACAACCTGCTGTGAATTATTTCCCAAAAGGTTGATGGAAAGTTATTGTGCTGGCTCTGCACGCTGTCCTACAAGAGAGTGCTACAGAAGACAAAAGAACAGAGGAAGAGCCTAGGATCTTCACATTCCAACTCCTCATCCTCATCACTTACTGAGAAAGACCAGCATCATTCAAAGCATCACCACCATC